GTTGATTTATTTATAAATTATGATTATATTGATTTAAATTAATATTAATTATTTGATTGATGAATTATGGTTTTAGTGATTAATTGATTAATTAATCAATTATACTTAAATTATTTAATTGATAATTAAATTATACTTAATTAAATTGTGTTTATTGGCTGTATCCTTTTTAAATTCTGCCCTCAGTGAGATCTAGACCCAGAATCGTTTGAGGACCTAAGTGCCTAGTAATTAGTAACCGCGCAAGTCTTCCTTTTCTAATGTACCTGGTATTAGTGTCAAAAATTATTTAAATCGGCACATTTAATAGCTGCAGTCTAAAGTTTGAGTAAAAGTATTAGTTATATATTTGATATTTTGATATATGGAATTGGTTTCCAAGTCTGTTCTGAAGTGACAGAATGTTCTTGAAGGTCAAAGTTGTTGGCAGGAGATTTACTATGGGTGTTTTATCCATGATTAATTTAGCAAAAATATTGAAGGTCTTGGAGTAGTATGCTAACATAAGGGTTCTTGAACTTAGCTCATATTGATATTGGTGATACAAATTGTTGATGTGCCTCATCTTTGAAGATTAGTGTCTCTGTCATCATTTATCTTCTACAAGTTATCTGTCTTTGGGGTTTTAAGTAGATTCTATAGGTTTTATTCTACTGTCATTTAAGAGGGTGTCCTTTTCTTGTTCTGCAAATATCAATATATTGCATTTGTTTTCAATGGGAAATATAGAGCAGTAATTCCATGCATCACTGTTAGTAGAACTTGAATTCTGATGAAAAAGCATAGGGTCTTCTGTGCCAACGTCAGTCTTGGATTATCTTACTTTCTGTTAACCCCTGGCCCAGCATTTTATTTTTTGGCCATCAATGAATCCTTTGCATATTTCTGTTAATACTATTATTCAGATTCTGAACTGTTGAGAAGTAGGGTAGAAAATCTGCAAATGGCTTCAAGGCGTGCTGCAAATGTCACTTTCCTTCAGGCTAATTTCGCCCCCACCAGATTTGGATGCAAAAGGGGTAACTCGAAATACCCGTAGGATACAATGAAGCACCTTGTTGATCTTGCTTTTGCACTGAACTATCCTTTGGAAAGTGACAAAACAATAGTTTTTGTATAAGGATTTCTACAACAATCGAAGTGGAAAAAGGGGCTGTTTTACTTAGATAATAGTAGGGGTTTGTTTATGGGTTTAAGAGACAAAGAAAAAGAGATAACTTCATATTTACAGGGGCAAGATGTCTGTTGAGAACAAATGCTCCTTTTCAATTTATTATCAATTTATTAACGATAATAACTGAGTTTTCATGAAACTTATTTGTTGGAAACTCTTCCAAAAGTTATTTGGTTTGATTTGAACTCCAACTCATCCTTGCCTTCCAAAGTTATCCACTCTCTTCAAAAACTTATTTGAATTTTATCTCTTATTCTGAGTTCAGACCAGATAAATGTGATTTGAACAAAAATCATAACTTTAATTATAAAATTATAATTCGAACTAAAGTTACACTTTCTCAAATGCATTCTGTGCAATTGCTTCGAACCAACTTTTAGTGATTCGAATTCAAATCTTAGAAATATTTTGAAATTTCTTCAACATGAACTCAAACGTAACCCAAAGGAACTGCATTCTTGGTAGAGGTGACTCAGCAACAAATGCAAACAGAGAGATCTTATCTCATCTGGCTAGGTCAACTTCAAAGATTCCTCAACTAGATGGGCCAATTCCAGATCCATATGATGATGTGCTTTCTACTCCCAATGTAAGTGTCATATTTTTCAAATTCAGTAAGTAGACAGAAACTATTCATCTTTCTTGAATTTTGTTGAAGATTTGATGCACTCACTGTTCATTTTTTTTCCTGGAATCTTCATCTATTGCCTTGAAGATATACAATTACCAAGGAGTTGTCAATGAAGACTACAATATAGTGAACGCACCAGCTTCTGGTAATTTCGCTTGCTGGAAGTACTGAGATTTTCTGTTTGAATGTTGGTAGGTACAATTTCTTCTTTCTTTGTTTTAGCCACCTGTTTTTATTTAGGTGCATTTTCTCCCTCCAGATGTTCAGGCTGCTACCCCTGCTCCTGTTGTTCAAAACGATGCTGCTGATGATGACGATGATGATTTGGATGATGTGGACCAGGAAGAGGAGCTGAACAAACAACATCTAGTTTTGGCTCAGTTGGACAAGCTGCTACTTGGAACAAGCGTGAATCCTGTTGCACATAAGCTTTATGGTAAATTTTTTTTTTTAACTGAGTTATATTTGGGGATGGGGGAATGGGAGAGACTCAAACTCGAGTCCGGTGAGAAGCTCCATGTGGAGAGCAGCCAGTTGCTCTACCTGGAGCTTCTTAAGGTTTATAGTAAAAATGTAAAATTTGTTTTGAATAGATTTCATTATTTTCATTGTAGTCTTATTATTAAATACAATATATGTTTTGGTGGGTAGGTCACGCGTACGAAGAGCCGATGGAAGTGCACACTCAAGGATGGAATTGTCCACATAAACAACAAGGACATTCTCTTTAACAAGGCAGGGTTTTCATCAATTGATTCCTGGAATTTCCATTTCCCGTTTTCTTCTTAATTCCATGGTTTTTACTGGAGTGCTTGTATATTTTGCAGGCAAATGGAGAATTTGAGTTCTAATTTTGTTAGAGACATGCCTATTTATCATCAAGTAGCGGTTAAGGATCAAATCTGAGTTGTCTTTTGGTCCTACGTAATTTTTTTTTTTTCCTAATTTGAGTATTTGATAATCAAATTGTTTTTAAATTAATCTAAAATTTAATCATATTAGATTTCATTAAGAAAAATTTCTCATATACTGTTTTTCTATTCATAATATTTAAATTCTAAATCTTATTTATGAATTCTTTTTATTCCCATTAACTGTTAGTTGGTAATTATTTATTTATTATTATTAAATGGAAGATTGAGATTATGCATAAAAATAAAAAGTAAAAAAAAAGTGTAAGCTTTTTCGGCCTTAGAATCTATCGACTCGAAACTTGTTTTATGAAGTTTCACCATTTCCCAGATGGAATTTGTAATTCCATTTGTACTTAAAAATACTTCGGAACAATTTTGAGTTGCTTCGTTTGTTCATTTTCTTCATGTTTTTGAAATCAAATCAATTCCCAATCCCATACCTTTTATCTTCCATAAATGTGTTTGCATTGAATGCTTGATTGCACCAGAATCGGACATTGATAAAAATGATGATTATTTTCTTAGATTTTTAGAAAAGATTTGTGGGTGAATTTACACTTTTTGTGGTGCTTGTAAGTATTTTTCTTCTCTTCAAAATTCAAAGACTTGATGTAAAAAGTTCTTGAATGGACAACAGATTTCATATTTCTTGCTTGAAGAATTCAGCTACATTACAGATGAAGAAAGATGATGGCTTGGAGGGTAAAGGTCTCCCTTATCCATTCTGCAATGGCTTCCAGTGCCTGAGTTCAGCCTGTGTTGAAGCTGGGACATCCGCACTCATAGCAACCCAAGAAACACCCCTTTCTGGCTCGGTGCTTCTTCGCTAATCCAAACCCATCTCCTATTCCGTTGTCTCGTGCGAAAGCTGCCTTCTTTTCGCAGCCACCGTCGTCTTTTTCTTCTCAAAAACTGAGATTCACTGTAGGGAATCGAGAACTGATAATTTCTTTTGGGTTTTCAGGGTTGGCTAAATGTTGAATTGTGGGGTTTCTGTGGGTTTTATAGGTTGGAGCATAGAGAGAGTATTTTGCAGGGGAAGAAGCAGGGTCACTTGTGTCTGACGCATCGAATCAGGATACCTTTTCTTGGGCTTCAGTGATTCTTCCGTACGTTTTTATCTTATGTTGTTATCTTTTCTGTGTTTTTTTAACGTTTTTGTCAAATGGGCATTTCTGTCTTGTTGAATTACTGATATTTGCTGTTTTAAGGTTTTATTAGCATTTTCTTGATTCATTGCGGTGAAATGAAATTTAATGCTTTTGGATGAAAGTCCCTCATAAATGGGCAACTATTTGATGAAATTCTGAAGAAAAGAATAGAGCTATATGATCATGGATTGATTCTTCAAATGTCTCTTGATCAGATCATATACAAATTATTGCCTCTACTTAATTTGATTTTTGCAATCAGATTGTTGTTCCCAGCTTTAGGAGGACTGTTATTCGGGGATGACATTGGCACCACCTCTGGTGCTACCATCTCTTTGCAGGTAACAGTCTAGTGGCTATTTATCCCATTATGTGAGAGTACTTTTAGATTGGTGACTGCATGATTTTTAATGTTTTTGTATCTAATTGACTGTCTCAAATTATCTCTCAGTCACCCCAGCTTAGTGGCACAACTTGGTTTAAACTTTCAGCCATTCAGCTAGGTCTAGTGGTATGGTTCTGTCTTCTACTTAAACTGCAGTGGAAATCTGATGCCTTAAGTCTGACAAAAATAAGGATAATGAGTTCCCTTGTTATATTGCCTTGAATGCTGGTTAGTGGGTCCCTCTATGGGGCTCTTCTTGGCTCCCTCCTTGTTTACACAATTGCAGATTTCCTTGGTATATCATTTGCTTGTCTTCTTTGTTGTAGTTGGAATCCATACATGACATCTCCTAATCCAGTGTTTGTGTTTTATGCTTTAAGGGAGAAGAAGGGAACTTATATCAGCTGCATTGCTATATGTACTTGGCACTTTGATAACAGCCCTCGCTCCAGACCTGGGTGTTCTCTTAGCAGGACGGCTACTCTATGGCCTTGGTATTGGCTTGGTGAGCTTCAAGAAACTTACCACCATTGCTTATGTGCTTTCCTCTAAAGCACTGTCATCATTTAATGTTCACATGCCATACATGGGGCTCCCCTCTACATTGCATAAACTTGCCCTTCTCAAGTACGTGGAACTCTAATATCTCTGAAGGAACTTTTCATAGTTATGGGAATTTTGGTAGTTTTAAGATTTTCATCTTTATTTTATTCACTTTCATTGTAGAATATGTTGAGCTGAAATATGGATTCTTTCACAGTTGGGATATTTTGTAGGAAACTTTCAAATTAACGCCATTGGAGGATGGCCTTACATGTATGGATTCAGTGCCCAAGTAGCATTACTTATGGGAGTTGGCATGTGGAGTCTTCCACCATCACCATGCTTGTTACTTCTTAGGGCAGTTCAGGGTAAAGGACCTTTACTACAGTACAAAAAGGAGGCCACCCTTGCACTAAGCAAATTGAGGGGCTGGTCTCCCAATGATGAAGCCTCTGAGAGTTAAATAGAAGATACCCTCATCTCAGTAAAGTCTACTAATGTGGAAAAGGAATCTGAGGGGAATTTCCTGGAGATATTTCAGGGGCCAAGTTTGAAGGCTTTTATAATTGGTGGTGGTTTGGTTCTCTTTCAACAGGTATTTCTCATTTTTGCTGGCATAGACAGTTTACAGTTATTTTCTTTTAAGTTGTATTATGCATTTTTATTTTATGGTTCTTCTAACAAACAAGTAATGGAGATAGTACATGAAAGATTTAGGAATATCATGTTAAGGAGCTGATTTACCACCTGCTTGTGACAGATAACTGGCAAACCAAGTGTCCTGTACTATGCAGGTCCTATTCTACAGGTACCTGATGCATGATAGTCAATTTATTTATTTTTTGTCTTCTAAAAAATGAAAATCTT